CCCTCCATTCTGAATTAATGGCTGCAAGGTCTTCCTGTACTATGCGGTAATGCTTGCGACAAATTTCCTGCTCTACATCGGCATTCTGTATTGCTATCTTTTCTGCAAAGGGGCTGAAGCACAGAAACGGACACTGACTCCAAAATAGATGTACATTTTATGTAAACCTGTAGGTTACTGTGTACTTGGTGAACTTATGGACGGTCTCAGTAAATGAAACTGCTTTTTGCTGAAAACGTTGAATGCGCAAGGCATCTTTCCTCGGCTTCTTCTTACGAAATGGTCCGCTGAGGCCTGTCGGCATGCAAGTTGCAAATTTAAACTGCGGGCTTTTGAAATTGAGCCATCATTTGAGCTACAGGAAATGAGGTCATCAGTGCACGAGGCTAGCGCCGATTTGAAGGGAGCTCAATTTGGCGTGGATTTTGCGACATGTTCAAGGACCTTGTTCCACGACGTCGACAGTTGTAGTAATTGGCAAGTACACATTGCTTCTGATTACCCGGTGTTGTGTGGTTTCTGTGCTTTATTGCATTCATCGGGAAAATAGGACGTTTTTTGTGAAAAATTTTAAAATAAAGCGTATCTGTCTATCGCTATAGTCAACCGAAGGGGATTTCCAAATTTGTAGCTAAATGCTGCGCGCCACCAAGAATGGGAGCTGCTAACAGTCGCATTGACTTAGGTAAAACCTTGCTGCCGCAATCTTTAGGTCCGGACTACGTGTGCTAAGAGAGTCATAAAGGTGGAAAGAATAGTGTATTCTGTAAAAAAGTAGGGGAAAATAGATTGGAGGATTTGACCGTCAGACAAGTGAATAACCACCCACGAGAGGGCCACGTGCGAAGTGTGTGGTTCTGGCAGTCGTCGCGTTAAGGTCCTGTGTGAGTCAGTCTCAAGGAGGTGATTAGCCAGACTAAGTTGGTGGACGGGCGTTGACGTGTGCGTACTTGCTAGTCACTGTGAGAAGTTGAGGCAGTTTGCGGCACCAATGACTGGCTGTCACACAGGCGGACCAAGAAATAAAATCACATGACGCCGAAGGGAAGGCACTATGGGTGTGAGAGCGATTCAAAACTCTCTAGTTGCTGAAAATGGGTAAGCGGACTCTACGTGAAATTTGAGACCTCTAATAAACTTTTCCTAGTGAATGCCTTTCCCTCTTTCGACTAGGACGTATTGTGTTAAACCAAACTGAATTTCAGCTAGGTAATCGAGTGACTACTGCTGAATTTGTCAATGCCCGAGGTGAGCCCATTGTTCGGTCAAAAGATATCTAGCATAAAATCCCATCTGGTTGTGTGGGATTTACTGACTCCATCATGTGCTTTGGTTCAGGATACTTCAGCCTTCGGAAAAGTGCATGAAAACTTCACTAGAGCGGTACCGAGCTGTCCCACGAAGTCCCACTCACACAGCCATGCATAACCTTTAGTTTTTTTAATTATAAAAATTGCGAAAACCACCTCAGCATGTTTTGTGTGCCCTACTCTCTTCGGGCATGGCAGGAGGACGCCGGCTGCTCGTACAAATATTCACCTTCAGGTCAACAGAACACATGGTGGAGACAGCTGAACGACCCACAACACTACACAGCTGTGTTCCAAAGGTACAATCAAATAGGGCATAGGTGAACGCCGAAGACCTGATGAAAGCCTCCTTAACCCACGGTCAGACCCCAAAAGGTTCGTAAAAAGTGCTCGCGCGCCCGATGCATTCGAAAACCGATTTTGAATGTACCTTGTGGTGCGGTAGACCTTTAGTTCCAGACAGTCGAAGCCCCTTAGTTGCGCTAAATCTTCACTATCTATCCACCTTCGCTATGGAGGAAGCAGCCTACGTAGAGCCAGCTAAAAATGAGCGTTACCGTCATCCACGTGTCAGCGTCTGGTCATCCTGGATTTAAATCGTTTGCGACAGCCTGTTGCCTGCAAGGTGACGCTATCGCAGTGCAATTACACCCTTTCAGGCACAGATAAACGCCCACACACTCCTGATTCAAACTAT